CCCCCCCCATCCAATTCTCTGGGATGATCGCTTTATCCCTCCCCCCACCACGTGGCTGGTATCAGGGAAGATCCCTGCTAGCCACACATGAAAAGCTTAGCGCCAAACTCCCCCCCCCCCCCCCGCGCTTGGCTTACTACAGGGAAGGATTTATTTTCAGCCACAGGCAAACAGCCCGGTAGGAGGGGCCACCTCTGTCCCCTTAATTAAATTCCCATATTTCAACCAGGTTACCATGAGCGATATCACTCTCCTGAGTATTACACAGCGAAATAAAGAACGGATGTTGCTTGAATGCCAGCAAATACCGGGACCATACGCTGCCAGGCTTTGTCATGCAATGATACCAGATTACTTGCTACTAGCATGGCGTGGTCAAGTGTCCTACCATGGAGGACAGAATAAGGCTGCACTGCCCAGAAACCTTCTGCAAAGGCTTTTGGAGTACCTCCAGGAGAGCTTCATGGAGATGTCCCTGGAGGATTTCTGCTCCATCCCCAGACACATTAACAGACTTTTCCAGTAGCTGTACTGGCCGCGAATACATCCCAAGTCCTCAGGGCAAATTAATCATTAAAAAACGCTTGCTTTTAAACCACGTTTTATATTTTAAAAGGTAAACTCACCTGAGGTCCCTTCCATGGGGTCATGGTCTTGGGTACTGGCTTGGGAGGGTACTTCAGTCAAGCTGAGAAAAAGATCCTGGCTGTTGGGGAGAACAGAGTGCTGGGTGCTCTCCGCAAGCTCGTCCTCCTCCTCTTCTTCCCCGTCCGCAGAATCCTCAGGTGTGGCTGATGAGATTAGCCGGAATCCACGGTCAGAGGTGGGGTAGTGGTGGTGGCCCCCCTTAGAATTGCATGCAGCTCAGCATAGAAGCAGCATGTCTGCGGCTCTGACCCGGAGCGACTGTTTGCCTCCTTTGTTTTCTGATAGGCTTGTCTAAGCTCCTTGACTTTCACGCGGCACTGCTCTGAGTCCCTATTGTGGCCTCTCTCCATCATGCCCTTGGAGATTTTTTCAAAAGTTTTGGCATTTCGTCTTTTCGAAGTTCTGCTAGCACTGAATCCTCTCCCCATAGAGCGATCAGATCCAGTACCTCCCGTACGGTCCATGCTGGTGCTCTTTTTCGATTATCGGCCTGCATGGTTATCTGTGCTGATGAGCTCTCTGTGGTCACCTGTGCTCTCCTGTGCTGGGCAAACGGGAAATGAAATTCAAATGTTTGCGGGGCTTTTCCTGTCTACCTGGCCAGTGCATCCGAGTTCAGATTGCTGTCCAGAGCGGTCACAACAGTGCACTGTGGGATAGCTCCCGGAGGCCAATACCATCGAATTGCGGCCACACTAACCCTAATTCGAAATGACAATATCGATTTTGGCGCTACTCCGCTGGTCGGGGAGGAGTACAGAAATCGATTTTAAGAGCCCTTTATTTCGAAATAAATGGCTTCGTTGTGTGGATGGGTGCAGGGTTAATTCGATTTAATGCTGCTAAATTCGAATTAAACTCATAGTGTAGACCAGGCCCGAGCAAGTCACATCATCTTCCTATCCCACAGTTTCCCCATCTGCAAAGGGACAATAATCAAACTTTACCCTCTTTTGTAAAGTGTATTGAGCTCTCTGAGTAGAAAGTGCTAAACAAGTGTTAAGTATTTTTATTACGTTCTCTTCACTTGTGCCTATCACTGTGGGAGGAAAATGCTTCACTCCAAAACATAAGCAAGTTAACTTTCAAATAAATATAGATAAAAAAGAAAGGAACAAGAACTCTTAATAGCCGTGCCAGACCTAGCCCAAGACATCATTTTAGCCCTGTGCCTTTTTAGTATAATGTATTCACTTTATTGTTTGTATTGTGATGGTGCCTAGGGCCCATATCATAGACCAGAGCCCAAATGTGCTTACTGTACAACAACCAAAAGACTGTGCCCCAAGGAACTAACAATGTAAATAACTTTTCTTTTCTTTCATTCATAGTGTCTGTCCAGGTTTCCTATAACCTCTTTCTGTGGTACACCAACTGTTTATCGCATGCTGGTGCAGCATGATCTTACCAGGTACATCTAGATTGCTTACTAACCATCTCAACTAAACCATGTTCTAGCAGAATCACAGCCCTAGATTTTTCCTTTGCCAGGTTGTATTTTAACAAAATAACCAAATCAGAGGTTGAAATTCTAGTTGAACTCACTCTGTAAGTTCTTTACCAGTTACAGCTGCAGCGAATGAAGCCCAGAATCGAACCATGCCAAAGTCTCTACAGAAATGTGCTTTAGTCATCCTAATCATTGTTTTAAACACTTATTAAGCTACAAGTTCAAGAGCCTGAAGCACTGCCTAAGTGGGGGTGAGCCACTCAACCCTGAAGTGATGGAGAAATGGAAAAGCAAAACAGGGATGGATATCTATGAAGGATACGGCCAGACTGAAACAGTACGTTTGCATTCAATCACACACCTAATAAGCTTAATTCTAACTCAAGCTCATGAGGAAAGATATCAAATCCATATGGTAGGTTTCTTGCTTTATCCAGGAAAACAGGCCCCAAATTTTCAAATATAGGCAACTAACATCAGGCTACTAAATCCATATGTAGGCCCCTCAATAAAAGTAGTCTGATTTTCAAAGGTGCTAAGCACCTGCAGCCCCATTGACTTCATTCTGAGTTTTGGGTTCTCAGCATCTCTGAAAATCAGGCTATATTTATTCAGGAGCCTAAACATAGATTTAGGTGTCTAAGTTTGAACATTTTGGCCTAGGAATTTAATTAGGCAGCATGTTTTCCTTCAGCCAAACATCTCAGCAGCAGATTTTAAAGGGGCCATTAGCTATGCAATTAACTAGCTCAGTGGTTTGAGCATTGGCCTGCTAAACCCAGGGTTGAAAGTTCAATCCTTGAGGGGGCCATTTAGGGATCTGGGGCAAAAATCTGTCTGGGGATTGGTCCTGCTTTGAGCAGGGGGTTGGACTAGATGATCTCCTGAGGTCCCTTCCAACCCTGATATTCTATGATTCTAACTCATTAAATGTGTTCCAAAAACACAATAAGGGTGTATCTTACCACTGAGCCACTGAGTGCAGGGGACCCAAAGTGGCCAATCTGGCTGGAGGGAGGGGGCAGTAAGGAGGGCATTCTGGCTACACAGCAACATTCCCTTCTTCCTCCAACCCTGTACAAGCTCAGCTGGGAGGGAACAAACCAGGCCAGGTCTGGGAGATAATCATTTTGTGTGACATCATTCCCTCTTAACTCTAGGGGGTTTCAGGTGTAGATAAATGCTGATCCTGCCAGTGTTATGCTTCGTCCCTCACCTCACAGTGAACCCCACTCCACAGGTGGGGATGCAATGAGCCAGACCTATGGGCTGGGCTGGGGCATGAGGAAATAGTACAGAGGCACTGATGGTCCTGGCTTCAGGTGTGTATTCAGAGATCCATGAGTTTCCAGGGATGAGTCCCAGTCAGTTCTCTGTGGTAGATAATCCTATCTTCCTAATGGAACAACCGGCAGAAAGTTCCATGTGCCTAATTCTGACCTCACATCAGGTTGGTTTTTTTACAGTTATTTAACTCTGTTGATATCAGTGGAGTCACTTCAGATCAGAGGACACCTAAGCCCCATGTGTCTAAACTTGTAGAATCACCAGCACCCTTGTAGAAAAAATCTGTGCAAGAGAAGATTGGGACATACAGGAATAAAGTCTCCAATTGTACGTGCTGACAATCATTATAATGTAGCCAATAGTAAATATCAGCTGCTGGGCCAAATTCTTCTCTCGGGCTGATATTTCTTTGAAGTTAATGGACACTGCTCTCACACAGACATACTTCTTTGTAATTAATGGCGTTAAAGTGGTGTAAAACAAATGCAAATGAGAGGAAGTTGAGTTCCAAGGGATTTAATCTGGATTTTTTCACTAGTATAGTTGAGAGCAGACTTTATCCCACCGAGCCAGATCTTCAGTTGGTGTAAGTCAGGGTAACTCCATTGACTTCTTTGGAGCGATGTTGATTTACACCAACTGAAGATCAGGCCTATTGTGTTTAAAATCACCATTTTTCATTTTTCAAATGAACATTTCTACAAACATTTTACTAGTAAAATAGATCATGCAAAATGTTTTCAGTTACAAATGTTCATATCTAAATAAAACATCAAGCACTGTATTTTGTTGCACACATACAATTTTATTTTACAGGTTTTGATATTATCAGTTTGCAAAGGGATGAAAATTAAACCTGGTGCTATGGGAAAGGTGTCTCCATCTTATGATGTTCAGGTATTTTGATACTCCTGGTCACTTTCAATCTGAAGTAAGATAAAATTCCCACACAACACCAGAGTCTCTCAACATTTAATTCAGTACATCTCTCTGTTTAACAGAAAAACATTAAATCATTCAGGAGGGGTTTTCTCTCATTCTAGGTAATAGATGAAAATGCTAATATTCTGCCTCCTGGGGAAGAAGGAGATATTGCCATCAGAATCAAACCAACAAGGCCATTTTGTCTTTTCTCTCATTACGTGGTAAGGAAACTTTGTATGAAATTAATCAGACTTTGAGGCCACATCTTAAATACACTGATAACTTTTTAAAGTATCTTGCTGTGGGTGTCTATATCCTTCCAAAGACAATAGCTCATGTGTCTCATAAACAGGACTTCCATTGGTGCAACCAGAGGCAGAAAGTGTACTTGTGGGTTGAGACAGAAAACCTCTGCAATATTCCCTCCGCTGGAGGTCTAAGGATATGTCTCTACAGCAATCATCCCGTGTGATTGTAGCCCAAGTATACATACCTGAGCTAGCTTTAATATAGCTATCGCGGGTCCCAGAGCAGTGAAGCTGGGACCGCATGAGTTCAGCGCAGGTTGTACAAACCTGTCTGAAACCCTGGGTAATTACTTGAGGGTCTAGCCCGTGCTGAAACCAGTGCTGACACAGCTTCACACTTCCAGGACCTGAGCGAACTAGATTAAAGCTAGCTTCAGTATGGTGGCTCGAGCTGCAGTCGCACTCAGTGACTGCATTCTAGCCATACCCTAAGAAACAGGTGACTGTGGCCAGGGATGCATTGATCCAACTCAGCCTCAGCTGATAGGGCTACTGTGGAACACCTGGCAGATTTTTAATACTCCCTCCCCCCTTGAGCTATCCTAGGGGAGGTCACACAGCAGGACTGCTGCCTGCCCTTCCTCCGGTGCATATCCTTGGAGGGGGGCGGGGCAGGCTGGCCCTGGAAAGTGTCACTAAAAGCGAGCGTGGCCCAGAGTTCAATGTTTTTAATTAGGGTTACCATCTTTTAGTTTTTAAAAAGGAGGACACTCCATGGGGACCCGGACCCGCCCCAACCCCGCCCCTTCCCCACCCTCAGCCCCGCCCCAACTCTGCCCCCTCCCCTGAACGCTCCGCCCCCTGCTCCTCCCCCGGCCCCGTGGGCCCGACCCCGGCTCCCAGCCCGGCCCTGCCCTGCG